AATCTTATCAATATCAATCTTATCAATACCCATCCCTAATGGGAATGATAGAGCATTCTGATTGGCCTGATTAACTTCAGGCTTAGTTTTCTCTTTCTCTTCAGGAAATAGGTTGTTCAAATCTGGGGAGTTAAAATCAGTTGATTTTAGAATGATCATTTCTGATTGGATGATTAGAACTGAAACTGAACTGAAACCATTTGCCTGTTTTGTTGTTGATTCTCCCACATTTCAATTCATCTAAGCTAATTTAATGTCTCTGTTTTCAGTCTGACAGACACACACACACGTACACACAGATCCATACAAACAACAAACTAAGGAAGTTTCCCCATTCATTTGAATTGCAAAACGTCTAAAAGAAGGCACAAACCCAGACCAGTTTGCAGCTCTACCACTCAGGCATACTTTATCGCAGAAACATCATTTAAACTTTATACGGGTCACAAGACTTCGGACTTTTATTGACTAAATCTGTGTTTTGATATCTTTTATGTTTCTTTTTCATAAGAGCAGTTTATGTTTTACGAAGAATTAGGTTTTTCTGGGAATTTTCCCACCACTGAATGATCACATGACCTGCTGTAATACCTGAGGGTGGACAATATTGATGATCTGATATCGTCGTGTTGGTGTTCCTGGAACAACATAGTAAATGTTGTTCCAGAATCAACATTGCAAGTGACCAATCACATTGTTGTGACGTTATTCTTTGGCGCCCTAGCCATTCGTGCATTTATGAAATTCTAATGTTGCACGGACAATATCAATTCTGCTTAGCGTTTATTAAAGGATTAGGGTTAGGGTCCGTTGATCGGCGGACAGAGGCGGTTTCTCGCAGCTTAAGTACAGTTTTTTGTTTTACGGCGGTTTTTCCCGAAGTCGCAAAAGTATGACGTCACAACATTCTGATTGGTCATTTGCTATGTTGACCTGGGAACAACTCCAACACGACGATATCAGATCGTGTGAAGAATACAAAGAAAAATGTCTCCTGCTTTCTTTCCTGCCCAAACCTTTTGCCTTATATGTATAATATAGACATTAAAACATAGCTATCGTTATCTTCTTTCATCCAGTGTTATTCTCATTGAGATGTGTTTTAAGGTTTTCTCACAAATGCCATCAAAGCACAGCTTTGTCTGTCATAGACTATATAATGTTAACTCTAACTAATTTCGGCTGAAAATCAGAGGGGAAGGCTGCTTTATATGGTCAGCATGAACTCTACAAACATGAAAATTCAGTATTTGATACACTAGAAGTTCCTGCCGCTCAAGGTGAAAGAATTTTCTAGATACGATTGATAGTTTTCCCTTGGGAAGCATTTGTTTCAGAGGTTAAATCCTGTTTTCCACTCTTTGTATGGCCAGAACTTTGTGCCATCAGAAACTGAATTTGAATAAGTTAAATTTGAATTTGAATTGCTCAGATTGAATCTGAATTGTAACTTGAGTAAATGCTTTTTAAAACTGAATTTGAATTAGCCTAATTTGAAATTCAATTTATTGGTTTAAAAATGATCATCACTAAATTGAAACTAAATTTTACATTATGAAAATGAATTAATTTGAAATTGTATTCCATCCTTCTTTAATTTTGGCCCGACATTTAATTATGCTTTCAGTTTCACTTCTCACCATTCCATTTCAGTTCTTAAATTCAGTGTTTTGGGTCAAACATCCGTTAGTGATGGGATTTCCGGCTCTTTTTAGAGAACCGGCTCTTTCGGCCCGGCTCACTAAAAAGAGCCGGCTCCCAACCGGCTCTTCAGGTTGTTTTGTTGCTTTAATTAATTAATTAATTAATTAAAGCAACAAAATTAATAAATTTTGTTTATTTTGCAGCAAGCAAAATACAAGCAAAGCACAAGGCTTGTAAACAAATGTAAACAAATGATAACCTAACAATAACTGTTATGCTTCTTGTAGTTGTTAGCTAAAAAGGCTAATTTAGCTTAGTTTGCCCTGGGTTCAGCTTTGACAAATATGATCGACTGTTTTTAGTAGATTTCCAAAGTTGTCATCTTGGACCATCAGAGCCCCACATGCTTGCAGGGACCCCTACAGTAGGGAAACATGCAAAAGAATGTCCAGACCTTTGTATTTTAGCTTGATTTATGTCTTACACAGCATCCCAACTCTTTAGCTAACTTAATAACTCTAGCTAAAGTGAATAGTTAGTCTAATTCACCAGTGCAGCATTACTGGATCACCTCTGTTTGAAATGATATGATATATGACTCTCAATGTGTTTAAACAGGCTGTTTTACAGCTGATCAAACGTTTAGGACCACACCTCCCAAAAACCCAGTAAACCCCCAGAAATCAAAGTTCAAAACAGGAACTCAGTAATGAGCAGCTCCACCGTTATTGTAGATCACTTCAAAAATTTGTTGTGGCATGCTTGATGCAAACGTTTCCATGAGACGAGTGGGAACATTTCTCCAAGGGGTGAAGACGTCCACACGAAGGACATCTACTGTCTGGAACTGTTGTCCATTTTTGTAAACTTCCCTTGTCTTCCATCCCCAAAGGTTCTCAGTTTGATTTAGATCAGGAGAACATGCAGGATGGTCCAAAAGAGTGTTGTTATTCTCCTGAAAGAAGTCCCATGTCCTGCAGCATTGTGTACTGTAGGGTTGTCCTGATTAAAAACATTGTGACTACCTGACAGAAAATGACAATGAATCCACATTTTTGCACAGATTTGGCCTTTTAAAGACATGTGATCCTAAACTTTTGATCAGCTGTAAAACAACCTGTTTCAGTTTAAACGTTGTTGTCAATTAACTGCATGCTCAAAAAATGTTTTGTTTTACTCCCATTTCTTCTTGTTGTTAAGATCCAACCACAAAAAATATGCATTTTTCAATTGGTCTTAAACTTTTGATCAGGACTGTATCTGTATTTCTACTGTCAAATTATATCATATTTCATAAGGACATGACTTTCAGACAGTGTTAATCTGCTTTTTTTGGCCTGCTACTTACACTGCACACTATGCTAAGATATGCCAGGTTTTGGACTGATAGCTCTTTGGGAATCACCTTGTCGGTGCAAAAATACTATTTTATGTTAAAAATTTATTATTTTGTTATTTTGACAGATTCAACTAAAGAAATGAGAACAATTGACAATTTTTTGTGATAAGCTGCTAGCAACGAAGAACCTAAAGATATAGCTTAAAACTGGTTCTTTATTAAGGACTCTGTTATGTGAAGACAATACTGGTTCATCCCTTGAGTTGTGTTTTTTTTTTTCTTATGCTTGAATGATTCATAGGACAATGTTCAGTGAGGGAACAAAACAAAGCAAACAAAACAAAACAAAGCATTCTCCTGAAAATTGTCATGTACAAGGAAAAAAAGCCTTTAGAATATTGATCCAGACTATTAAAAAAACACATTAAAAGAAGGTCCGGGTCCTTGCATGCAAAAAGTATGGTTTAAAGACTTTAAACATTATTGTATATATAACCATCCAACCAATCCCATCCTATTTTCTCCTGCTTATTCAAGTCTGGGTCATAGGGGCAGCAGTCTAAGTGTAGATGCTCAGAGCTCCCTTTCCCCAGCTTTCCTGCCTCCAGCTTACCTCTTTGGAAAGGTTACCAACATGTTCTTAAGCCATCTGAGAAATATCGTCTCTCTGGTATGTTCTGGGTTTGTCCCAGGACCTCCTCCTGGTATGACATGACTCACCTAGGATTCATCTTAGTCCTTACTCGAATCAACCTCAACTGAAACTCTGCCTATGACTGCAACCCAGTCCACAATGCACCAAACGACCCCTCCTGCAAGTGGTGGGCCTGCTGCATTGCCAGTGCACAGAGGATATATATAATGTCAAATCTTGATATAAATACCTAGTTATCATATCTGTCAGATAAAGGTGGTAGAGTAAAAGAGGCACTATTTCTCTTTCAGATGTGGCCAATTTCAGTGGATGAGTGGAAAACAGCTCTGACAGCCATTCTGCAGCAGCTAGACAACCCACAGTACGACAAAATGTTGGAAATAGTGCAAATCCCCAAACAGAGGAAGACTGCTAAGTTCAGAAAACAGCTGCCCCAAAAAATCATTGAGCACCACGGACTGAAAAAATCTATTCGCAAAATCAGAGATGCAATGGATCAGATTCCACGGAGGGATCATGCAGTCCAGAGCCTGCTGCTCCCCTTCATTGAACAAGTGAAGAATGGACCAAAAACTGAGGGTGAGTTCACATAGTTACGTATTCTTTATGCCAGGCTTCTAGAAACAGGTTTTGAGCTATGAAATTAACTTTGACTTACAATGTTAGGGCTTGAACTAACCATTGAAGCCCGATATTTTATTCAGTGCTTTTTTTAACTCAGCGCAGACATGATTAGATGGTGGGGGTCAGGTGTGTAAGTCAGCCTCTCCTGACACCACACCCTGAACCCATTGCTCCACCCCTCACCTGCAGCTGAGCCACAAACCACACCCACCACAAAAAAAGCAAAAACATAAATTACAAATGTGAGTGTGAGAGGTGTGTCCTACCTCTTGTCCCATGTTAGCTGGGATAGGCTCCAATTCCTCTGCGATGCTGATAAGGATAAACTGAAGATGACAGACTGATGGATGGCATATAATTTTATGCTAAACTTGATAGGTTTATATAATCCATAGGCTCCCCTTTGGATTATATGACAACACTCAAGTCATTTAGGGATGTCACTATAATAATTTGTTGCGTGTTACACATTTCTCAACAGGAAATCCAAACCAAAGCAAACTTTATGTATTTAAATACATTTTGTCTTTATATAACTTGGGTATCTTGACAAAGGTCAAATTAAAGATGCAGAGCAAACAGTCTAAGTCTTGAATTATTATTCAGTGAAAACCATCTGTTGGCATATACAACCCTTAAAATCTGTGTTCAACTTTTTAAAATGTCATTTTCAGGGAAGAAGAGGAAACGTGGTGAAGGTGATTCAAAATCAGCCGACAAGAAGCTTGAAGTCGGTACGTAACAACACCTAAAGGGGTCACAGTAGGTCCGCTGTGGGCTGAAACGTCCACCTTTCAATGTGCTTTGGAGCGTTCATGAGATAAACATTCTACCATCACCATTACCTATCCCAAAGTGGGTGGCTCAGAGCAATTGCAAAGACTAGAAAATATGATGAAGCAAATCTGCCCTTTGGTTTCACCTGCACAAGTGCAGAGGTAGGTCTCCCTGTAGGATTGGTTTTCCCTGCGTCGGGAGCAGCGCTGGGCTGTTCAAATCACGGACAAACAGGATCCCACATTCTTGATTTTTAGTTCACAAACACTTGTTGTAATGACTAACTACTCCTGACATGTTGGAGATGTTTGCTCTTTATACAGTAAAGTTACAGGATACAAATAACATCAGGCTGATCCTGCAGCGATTTGTTCCCTCGGTTCAAATCACGGACAAACAGGATCCCACAGCTGTTTATGTTTTTAAACACATTTTGCACAGAGAGACATTTTTTGAAAAATGTATTGACAGCAATGTTGAATATTATTACACAGGAAAAAACAACTACGTAAAATAATCACAGCGTGACGCCTCTGCCTTTGTAAATGGAGGGACAGTAACTGTGTGTAAAACCTGCAGACAGTCAGATTAACAGTATTTTGTATCTGTCATTGTAGAAATTCATCTCATGTAAACGTGTTACTTTGTAAAACAAAGGGGGGCCTAGCAAAAAAAAGTTTGGGAACCACTGACGACCTCTGGTCTTGACGAGCTCTGGGCCATGGCCAGTGAACTCCTCCACAGGCTCTTGGGGAGTTAATTACATTAAAACAACAGAAACTCATTTGTCTTTTAGAAGTTTCACCTCAAACCGAAAGTAACACAGTTTCTTCTTTTAAAAGGTCAGTGGAAAAGCTCCCAGCTTGACAAGGTAAGAGGCAAATCATCATCCAGATAGACCATTCTGTTAGAGCAAAGATGTGGAATATTCTTGAATGGCCAAGTCAATCAGCTGATCTTAACCCAACTGAGAATTTCACTTGAAGACTAAACTTCAGACAGAAAGGCCCACAAACAAACAGCAACTGAGAGCTGCTGCAGTAACACTGGCAGAGCATGAATAAAGAGGAAACCCAGAATACGGTGATGAGTTCAAGACTTCAGGCTGTCATCAGGTTTTCCACCAAGTATGAGAAACAAACATTTTATTGTCAGTTATTTAATTTGTCCAAATACTTTTGAGTCCCTGAAATTAAGAGATTGTGTTAAAAATATTTTTGGACCTGACTGTGGTAACCATCTATTATTCAGGTTATATTTTCTTCTCACTGCCCGTTTTATTACCCTGCACATGATCTTGTGTTTTCATTTGTTTGGCTGTTCCTGCTCAACCAGTGAATACACTCTCGTATTAAACCTTAAAGAGGTCAGCTTTAGAGCCCTCCTCATTCCAATATTCTTACCTGGGAGGACCTTTTTAAAATTGCAGGAATACATTTTCATGCTTTAATATTTAAAACAAACTAGTCCGAGTGCCAGTTTAGCTCAGTGTGAGCATGTGACTGTTTACCACAGAGGTTGAATGCAGCCATCTGGGTTGGATTCAAACCTGCAGCCCTTTGCTGTCGGCTCCTTGCAGTCATATCTGATAAAAGGCAAAAACTGCCCCAAAAGATAAACCAGATTAGTTTGATATGATACAGTGATACAGGATGTCCTCATAATCACTGTGTAAGGCTTTAACTTGAACGCCGATTTTGATCAGTTTGTGTTATAAAGTGTGAATGATGTCAGTCTGATGACGACGGCGTCATGTTTTCCGATTAATCGAGCACAGTAAGGTGAATGTGGCTGGACGACAGATTTAACGTTCAAACCATGAACAGCTCAAAAGTCAGACTGGGTCCAAACCAGAACCCTGACCCCTGCCTCTGTAAACCGCAGCAGCTGCTGAGATCTGATTGCTGCTGGTTTAACTGCTGACTGTTTGATATTAAATTCATCCACAAAGTGCTCGATTGGTTTTCCACTCAAACGTCATTCTGGTTTAAATGTCTGACAGACACCAGAAACCCAAATGTTCCGTTTATTCAAACTGCCATGATCTGCCAGCTCATCTTTAAGCTTTGTGATGGTGGTTTGTTCAGGCTGCACTCGTTGGACCACTGGAGCCCAAAAGGAAGAAGACCGGTTCCAGCGATCCTGCCCCAGAAGCAACTCCAGCTGCTGAAACTTCAAAGGTAGCGGCTGAAAGTCACTGTATGGAACTGAACCAGCCTCAACAACACTGACTAAAACACTGCCTGTGATAAATATTAAACATACAGCTTCTTATCTTTGTGCAGGTTCAGAGCGCACAAATCCACAGCGGGAGAATTGAAATCAAATCTGTCTCAGCCATCACTAAACACACCGCTCGGGTTAAGGTGGAGGTGAAGAAGGAGCAGGAGTTCTACGTGTCAACTCAAAAACTGGCAGAGCTCCTCGGCTATGGCATGAAGGACGGGGTTGAAGGCAGAATCCGTCGTGCCATGCCAATCTCAGCCGAGGCTAAAATGCGAGACAATCAGATTATAGATATTAAAAGAGTTCAAAAGTTTTAAAAATAACTTGTTTGTACATGCTTCCTGTGTGAAACAATAAAGCTGGTTTAATCTGAAGTTTGAAGAATAACCCCACAAACCAGAGGTGCCATCACATGACCAACCACAGACCGTAATCCCAGCAGACATGATTCAGACAGAACCAGCTGCAGTCCAACTCCAAAAACATGGTATGGTTGGAGGTGGCTCCAGCTTCAGAAGTGCTCAGACGACCACTGTCAGCTCCACGTACGTGCACTGGTTTTATCAGACGAGCACCTTTATGGCGTCTATGTAAATTATACATCATTGTCAGGAACTTCAGCCGTTCAGCACATGATGGTCCTCTGGCTTTAAAAAGAAATATTAGCCTGTGGAGGCAGCTTAGCTTAGCTCAGCAGCATTATTGAGGTGATGGTAAATCCTAACTTCCTGGGACTGTGGGGAGTCTTTGTGGTTTTGGGGGTTGTGGAAAGTCCATGGTTGGTTAGAGATACAACTTCCAGAAATACTGCGCAGTTTCCTAATGAGGCTAGAGTTCTGGGCCTGTCACTTTACTCAACACAGTGAAATGTTAGTCTTCTAAAGTCCTGGTAGCTCCACACATGACATTCACCACCGCAGGTCCTCAAAACTGTGGTTTGAATCAGTGACCTCGACGCTCCTCAAACTTTGGGTTCTGTCGTTCACCCGGATGCAACTTTGACTTGAAGCACTCAAATAAAACGCTGATGACAGAAACCGAGTGTCCTGACACAGACCGAATAAAGAACGAGTGGTGTGTCCTCCCGCCGAGGATGTCAGTCTGACACTCATGAGTGAGATGAACAGGCTGAATATTCTCAGTGAGGTCAAGCTGGAGCTCTGGCACAGATTAAACCACCTGTGCAGGTGAAACTGCTTCACTGATGACCCAGTGTGTCTGCTGGTTTGTTTTTAAGCTAGCTTTGTTAGAACGTTTATTCCCAGCTAGCTTTAGTCGATCCAGAGTTCAAAAAACAATAATGTGAAACAACCTGTTTATTTCTACTTGACTTTATTAAAAATATCAAACATGAGGAAAACAAGCAGACACACACACACCGCAACATCGCTGAGTGAACGACAGTTTCAGACATCATGTTTCTGAAAAACAGTCCAACCAATCTCACTTTGAAAAACAAAAACATCGTTGGCGTTCATCTACAACAGAAAAAATAAATGAGTAAGCAGAGTTTCACTTCCAAAGACTTTGATCCAATCTGATAATAATCGAGGGATAAAAACGACCTGATATTCTCGTTTGATTTCCAAAAATATACAATATTTATATAATTACAGTGAATCTCGGGCCGGCGGCTCGCTTTTACTTTAAAGCTGCGACACTAACGATCTGAGTTACATCCACACAGAAACACACCTACAAAAATAGAGCGTCAACATTTTACACATCCGCCGCCACCTGCTCTGATCACACACAGACGGCCGCTTCTAAACCCACTGAGGGGGAAACACCACGTCGACCAGCTCTCTGAAGGTCAGAGGTCAAACGAGTCGAGTCCAACACAAAGAGGAGGAGACTGCTAACAGCGGGGAGCGTTTCTGGAAGTTATTAAAGATTGAGCTTCGTTTACTTCGAACTGCTTGCGTTTCTTCCCCCAGTTTCCTGTTTATTAATATTTACATGTCTGCTTTAAGTCAGCAGGTTTGAGTCTGATCACATGATCCTGATGTTTCAGGAGAAACTAATGAAAGAATGGAAAAGAACAAATACCCTGAACAATTAAACTGAAGGTGGTTTGATGGGAAAAATCATCTCCAGCCTCTCTCTCTCTCTCTCTCTCTCTCTCTCTCTCTCTCTCTCTCTCTCTCTATATATATATATATATATATATGTTTCTGTGCGAATCTTTCTTTTAATACCCGTTTTGGTTAACTTTTGTTTTCATCTATATTTATTTATGTTAAGATGGATGGTGAAGAAAAAACAGGTAAAAATCTTTTACCCTTACTTTGAGTTCTAGAGTACACAATGAGAAACACAAATAACAACTATCATGCAAGCATAACATTTGATTATCGTTAAAAAGCAAATCAACAATTTTGTATTTATGTGTTGATTTAATAAACAATGTAGCCGGAAACTATTCACATCGCTTGTTACACAATCTGTCATGTTACAGCCTCATCTCAAAATGGATTTAACTCCTGTTTCACACACAACACCTCATAATGACAAAGCGAAAAGGTTTGCATGAAATGTTTGCAAATTTATTTAAAAAATAAAACGTGTATAAGCATTCGGGCCATGGCACTCAAAACTGAGCTCAGGTGTATCTTGATTCCACTGATCATCTGTCAGATGTTTCTACAACTGGGCTGGAGTCCACCTCTGCTATTTTTAGTTGGCTGGATATGATCTGGGAAGGCACACACATGTCTGTATAAGGCTCATAGCTGGCAGTGCTGTTAGAGCACAAACTAAGCCATGAAGTCCAAGGAACTGTTTGTAGAGCTCTGAGGCAGGACTGTACCGAAGCACACATCTGGTCCAGAAGGTATCTGTAGAATTAAAGATCCCTAACAGTGACAGGGCTGAGGAAGAGTATGTCACTCTAGTCACTGAGTAGTCTGAAATATCTTCAAGTGTTTGTATTAAATTTAACATATGTGGAACTGCTTTGTGTAATAGTTGGAGATAAAGCTTGTTGGTAATCAGGGACCTTAAGAAAAAAAATATTTTACCTATTAACATTTGAAAAAAAAACAAACTAAACAGTTATAAAAGAGGTAATCTGAACAGAAAAGCTTGATAGTAAACGTAAAACTTCTTAAAGAAAACCAAACTGTTCAACAGTTTCCAAATAATCACAGTAGTCACAAATAACCAAATGCTGAGCTAAAGGATCAAATCAAACGACATATTTAAAGTTAATTCTGGATTCTACTCACGGCTATACGGCATGCTACAGTCAAACTGTCACTTCCTGTATTTACATATATCCCTTTCAGAGGCCGTCCAGGCAACGAGCTATCGCAGCACCATTAAAGCAGAAATCAATACAAAACAAGAGAAAATGTTTTAAAGCTATTCTACATGGTTTCATTGGTAGCTTTATACATCAGTTTAAATCACGTTGCACAAACACAGGCACACTGTAGCTGCCATCACCAGTGTGTGAATGTGTGTGTGAATGCGTGTGTGAATGGGTGAATGACTGGATGTAGTGTAAAGCGCTTTGGGGTCATTAGGGACTAAGTAAAGCGCTATACAAATGCAGGCCGTTTACCACACTCCTCCTGTCTGGAAGTTTCTTTAGAATTATTTCTATTTTATTTTCTAATATTTTGAAAACTTTGCCCTTTCCTGTTTAACAATTTTAACAATTTCAGGTATTATTTTTATTTTATTTTATGTATCTTATTTCCTTGTGTCTCTGCTACTGTTGAGAGGGGCAATTTATCCACAAGCTTTTGTTTAAAATTTTCATCCAGTTTAACACCAAACGCCTTCGCCAGGAGTTGAGAAGCTACAACAAATGTCTGCAGCTGCTGGTTGAATTCTGCCACCACATGAGTGCATGTCTTATTGGCTTTGGATATTGCTTTAATTTCAATTCTCCCCGTCTGGAAACTGGCACTGCAGACCTGCAGAAACACAAGCAAAGCTTTGGGACATGCTAAGAAATACCTTAAATATCAATTAAGTCGTAAAGTTTAGATCTTAAGCAATTTGTTGGTGTATTTTTTTCTGGATGTGTCTCAACAGCTGATAGTTAATAAATATAAATACAGATTCTTCGCAGCAGATGAAGAGCAGCTACCTTGTGAATTCTGGTGAATGGAGTGGAGTTAACGGATGTGACTCCACGAAAGTAGTTCGTCTTTACATTGGTCACTTTAACGATGTCTCCAACTAGTAATCTCTTGCATTGCTGAGTGTTCTCGCCCCACACAGAAACTTTGATGGAATCTGTGTCGTCTTTCAGATGGAAATCTTGCTTCTTGGTTTTCCTCTGTTTCATAACAGTAATCCTTTCAAGAGCTTTCATCTGC